AAACTAAAATTACCGTAATTTTACTGAACGTTGCCATTTGCGCAAAAAATTAGCAAAAATGGCCCGCGCCACCTGTTAGCGCGCGATAAAAACTACCCGCAAACAATGTGTTAATAGGAAGCTGAGTTTTTAATGGGAACATTAAAAGCAAACGTATAAACAAAAGTGCATAGCATGTGGCACAATGTCTACATTTCATTCCAGAAAGGGATCTTTTCTTATGTTCACATCCAGAACTTGATATCTCTGTGTGTGTGTGTGTTTTTTAATGTTTCTATTGATTTTTAGATAGAGAGGAAAGGAGAGAGAGAGAAATTGATTGGCTACCTCCTGCATGGTCCCCACTGGGGCTCGAACTCTCATCCTGGGCATGTGCACTGAGCAGGAATAGAACCAGCAACCTCTTGGTACATAGGTCAACGCTCAACCACTGAGCCACACCGGCAAGGCCAAAATGTTGTATCTGATGGATAAAAGTTACACAATATAGTTCCATTGGGCTGGCCAGCCAGTGGTCATTGGAAATCGTTAGGTATTGCAATGCATAACAGATGGGGAACTTGATGCCTCACTTAACATATGAGGTCCAGAGACTGCTTCAAAGAAAAAAAAAATCAAAGGACAGAGCAGTGTGGTTGTAACATCACTTCCCCCTCTTCTATAATGTTTCCTACTGCTGGAAGGAGACTGGGGTGAAGCACAATGAGAAAGTGATGAAATTTTATAAGGTTCTAGTGAACTGGACTTTCCAAGTACTGAAGACACAGTTGTAAAGTTGTTATCTAAAGGTTCCTACCCCTGAGAGTAAGCCCTCTTAGCCACGCTTCTCCAAAATTGGTGCCCTCAAGAACAGAATTGCCAAGTGAAATGTTTTCTTTCTCAATCATTTCTGATGTCTTACTAGAGAGAAAAATGTGAAAGAAAAACTGTGTATTCTACCACATCCTTATGGTGAAAAAGGCCTGAGACACCCTTCTCCCTCCTGAACATTTCTCTCTTCTCAATAGCCTAGCTATCCTTCAAGAGAAAACTATCACCTTACCACTACCAAGAAGTGGACTAGAATACTGGAAGGAGTGCTAGCCTTGAAGGCACTCCAGATCTTGGCTTGGGTTGCTTAACCATTTAAGGAAGACCTCTTGTCTTTTTGGTGAATCTGTTTTCTAATCTTTAAAATGGGACCAATAATACTCGCCTCACAGAATTTATATACACAGCACATGGTGGGTGATGAGTAAATATTTATGTATTTCAAGGCCTCCCCCAACTGCTCCAGTATACATAGCTTCTCTCCCATCACCCTGAAACCTGAAACATCCTCCTAACACCCATTTGTCACTTTGTCCGTCCACCACAGGGTACTTTTTGTACTCGCAGACTTAAGAGATGAGTCATTTGAATCTGAGTACACAGTGGCAACCGAGGCTCTTAAATGGGTTGTTCCTGCCCTCAAAC